TTAAAGCTACTGAGTTTTCATTTTAATTAAAACAGATCTTGGGGAAGAGGGGAAATGAGCATCATTAAAACACCACTGTACTGTAAATATCTGTGGTGGCAACACTGGTTAATTTTTCACAAAGTTTGCATAAATTATTATTATGTAAAGGTTGCTTGTATATCAGTGGATATTCACAAAGTGTCTAGAAGAGGAAGAGATTTCACTAGCTGTACAAAAAGTTCATATGAGCATGAATAGGGATTTTAGCAAAAAGCATAGAAAAAAGGACGGATTTTGTAGAAGATCTGCCAGCTAACTGGGATCAGCTGGAACATGCATAGGGCACTGTTGGACCAGAAAGACACGCTGTTGTGTTATTTCTATTTGTCTTCAGGAAAATTTATATCTCCCAAGAAAATGGTACTGTTTATGCGAGGAAGGGGAAAAAACCCCATCGTCTTGGCCTCTTGGAAAGAAAAGAAAATGTGTTCTTACTTACTCTAGTCTCTGTTTTTCAACAGTTAGGGATACCAATTCTCCTAACTTTTTCAGTTACTTTAGAAAAGCTTATGTGGAGAATATGCAGACAGTTATTAAGTCATTTGTGTATTGCTACAGAAGATTAGGAAGGGTTTGATCTTCACTTATGTAAGGGCATTGTCTTTACTCATAAAAGCTTTCCTTTGAACGTGCAGGGGTTCCTAACCTGGGGCTGGATCGCACCCCCACCCCTCCCCTATTAAATCCTGGGAGAGTTTTTCCCTGTGGACTTTCCCATACATCATCCAGTCAAGAGGGCAGGAGTTGCTGCCCTCCTCTTCCCCCCCCTCCATCATTTTTTCTTCCCTCATGGACTGAGCTGAGGTTGACAAGCTCCAGGGACCCCCTGGGATCCAGAAAGGCCTGGCTGCTCCCACAGGAGACCTTTTTCTCCAGATCACCTCTAGAGCCTCGATGCTGCTCCTGCTGCCCGACGTTGGAGCTGACTGCCAGAGGCTGCTCCCTGGACCTCCTGGGGGTTTCTCTTCCCACCCTGGACATGGAAAGACAATAGAGGTGGTAAGGTGGAAAAGCAGACCCTCTCTTGGGAATTTCTTCTGGGAATTTTTCAGGAATATGAAAAAACTAAACAGTTGTGAAAAATAAACAGTGTAACCCCACAGCAAAATGAACTCAACACAGGGACTTATAAACATAGATTTTGGAATTCTTTTGTATTTGTTGGCTGCTTTCAAGGAAATCACTCAGTAATACATATCAGTGAGAATAACTTCACTGAATTTATTAAGTTTTTAACTACTGAAATTCAGTGGTCAAACCATGAAGAGTACGATTAACATGATTATTTATTTATTAGTGTCAGAATTTTAATGAATAGGTCTCTCCTTCCATTACTGGAATACTGAAAAGGAATGGTGTTTTCCCTTTTTTGATTGCATCTGCCTTAGTGTCTCCTTCATTTCAGAAACAGGGACATACCAAAGATTTTACACTACTGTAAAATCGTCTGAATGCATATGTTACTGTACATCTTAATATCCTAATATACATTATTCTAATGTACAGTGCTCATGTATGCCTGTTTTCCTATGATTTCCAGAATATTTTCAGAATATGGAACTTACTTTCATTTCTGAGTATCTTAAAGGACTTAGCACCCTTTCCTTTTTAGTAATCTTCTTTATGTTTGCTATGCACTATGTTCCTCCTAATAAAACAAAATATTCAGACTCCCATTTTACAAGCTTTTAAAAGAACACCAGACTCCGGTGACTTGGTAAAATCTTTTTTTCTACCAAAAAAAAAAAAAAAGAGTAGATAACTTGGGAATGTGTGGCATTCTTATTTGCCTTGAGAGCCTTTGATTTGACAGTATTTGCAACCACGTTTTGTACGCAGTTGTTCAAGACAAGCAGTAACTGGGTTTGCTTATCTTCAGTGGGAATAACCCTCTTTACATACAATCCGAGATATTTCTTTAGCAAGATGTGCCCTTGCTCCTGTTGTTTGATTGCACTCAGAGAAGTGAGTCACTGTCAGTTTTTATATAACAATGGCTGGAAAGGTATATTTTAAATTAAATTTTAATGTTTTCATTGTGTTTGTTTGTGAGAAGGATCTTTAATTGGTCCTGAAGGGAGAACATTCTGTTGGTATAGCATTATTATTTGTAATATCGGAGTTTCAGGGTTTTTTACTTCAAATTCATTTAAGTCTAATCTACTTACGGCTTTGCAAGTCTTTAAAATGACCTCAGAGAATTCTGAATCAGGCCCTAAAATGATTCAAATTAACTGGAAATACAATATCAAGCAAAAAGAGACATAGCAGAAGGCTAGCCAGAAAATTCTACAAAATCTAATGACACTGAAAGTACATTATGCATTTTTAAAAATCTGCTTAAGCCATTTCTAAAATCTTTATTTTCCTCTTTGAGCGATTTCTACAAACTAAAATGACTAATTTCAAAATATGGGAGTTGCTGATTATTTTCACAGAGAGATTTCCTCGAGCCCTATGTTTCTTGTCAGTAAAAATTAAAAGATTGAGGTTAGCTGATTACATTTATTTTATTTATTCTGCACGTAGAACCTCCCTACAATGAAATAAGCTTTATTTTTATAACAAAAAACTGGAAAGAGGTTTTGAGCTAAGGAATTGCTTTTTATACACATCAGCAGAAATAACAGAGAAACAGCTTAAATATCAGTGTTGGATCGTAAGACCCTCATGTTAGTCTGCGCAGCTGAACGGTATGATAGCAGCTTGTTAGGCTATAGGTTTTTATTGAAATGCCTATTGAGTAAAACATAATTCATGCTGTTGTTCACCCTTAAAACAGGAAATAATATACCCATTTAACTTAATCACAATTTATATTACATGTGCATATTTCTAAACAAGTGCTGTAGATGGAGAGTTTGGTAGCAATAATATTTATGAATTACACTTTTAGTTAGCAAAGGAAAATGTGTGACCTCTTACATTTTGTTTGACATTTGAATTTGGTATCCCGTATATGTGACATGGGTGATGGATGCTTATTAGCACAGTGTATAAACAGGAAATGCTTCTAAGCTGACCATTTATTAGCACAGTATGTGTTCAAACTGAAATTTGAATTTTAGCTGCAGTATTTTTGTCTGACGACTGCAGAGCTGAAATAGAAGGCGGGTTTCTTTCTTTCTTTTTTTTTTTTTTTTCTTGCTTGCTTTCCTGTACAGAATGGATAGATTTAACAGGGTATGATTTTTATATCTAAATCAGTCTTCCATATGGAGCCTGAGTAAGCATATGAACACCAAGGCTTTCCTATGAATTGTACAAAAATAGAGTCGTAGGAAATGTATCCAGTGGAAGGATTTTGCAGAATTCATAGTGAATTTTCCCGGTTTAAATAAATAAATATATGTGCCCACATTCCCCTTCATGTCCTGACGTATGCAATGAGCAATATCTTCATTACTGCAAAAACGCAGGGAAGTATCATTGACTTCACCAGAGCTTTGACAGCTGATCCACTTCTGATCTCTCCTTTGCAGGACTGGAGACATAGTAATTTTTCATTCACACTTAATTGCTTTTTAAAAAAAAACCACTTAAATTCCTGACAAATATCTGAACAGCTTTTTCAGTGAAAGTTTCAACACTTCATCTTATCAAAGCAGAAGCTAAAAACTCCGCATATTTAGAAGGATTCTTCCAGAAGAGAACAAGAATATAGTTTTTCTAAAAAGGAACCCCTCTACAATTTTCCTGATGATTTACTGGGGAAAATATAGAATAATACAGAGAATCTGTTTCCCTTTCTGTATCACATTTAAAACCAGCCCTCGGGAGAGAGAACATGAATCTATTTTTCTTAAGCACAGGCTTAATATTCCAAAGCATTTGGATAAAAATTATTTGTTTAACAAAAGAACTGTGATTACCCGGTAAAGTATCTGAAAGGGAAGATATTATTTTAAATATCTCTGTCCAAAGAGTTCTACTGTATTGTACAGTGTAGGTCAAGGAAATTATTCTCTATTTAAAAAGTCATTAGAGAACCTCCATCTAGCTATTATAAGTAGCAGGTATAAGACCATCTTGACTGTTACTATTAATATTAAATACCTTTACTAAATACACAGCTTTCCACGTTTCAGGACCCAATCACAGGAAGGTTAGCAACCTGGAAATTGAAACTGGCAGATCTTTAATCTAACATTCTGCTTTTCAGTGGAAAAAAAGTAACGTCTTTATAGATGAGAGTCAAAGGTTAAATTTAGTTTGTATCAAATTACAAAAATATGCTTTTGGTGAGGTTAGATTCTCATGCTCAGAGCAATTCGAACTGTAATGAAAGCAAACATTGAAAGAGATAATCCCATTAAAGATGAACTATTCACTTTAACCTCAAATATTTGGTAACTAAAATAAAACCATCCTAGTAGGAGGATGAAGTTCAGCTCTTAAGGGAAACTGCAACTCAATATTATACCTCAGATTGCATGAGAAAAATAATAGCACTCCTGTTTCTGAAAGAAAATCTTATTTTGGGGGAACAAATTAATTCATGTTCTCCTCTTGAGGTCTACACAAAACAATGGTGACCCTTTGGATAGCGTGTGCTTGTACATTGCCGGGTAAATCGTGCTTTTCTCTAAACAGCAGCTCTTCCAGAAAGAGTGAAACCTGCGTGGTGCTGTCGTACAGTGGGAAGTCGGGAGCAGGGGAATGAATGTCTGCAGCTGTGAGCTGGCTCAGACTCACGCGTGACATCCCACAGCAAAGGTCTGTGCTTGCTCTTCCTCCATGCCTTCCAACACCAGCAACATCAGGATGTCTTTCTTTCATGTCAGTCCCCTCAAGTCATGCATCTGGTTTCTGAGAGGGAACTAATTCTGCGGAAAAGCTCAAGCCTGCACTCAGAAGAAAACGTCAAATATACTCAATTTCAGTTATCCCAGCCTGTCCCCTGTGCCACCTCAGCCTGGCAGTGTAGTAGGGATGGAGTGTATACTAGGACTACTCACCTGGGCTTGGTCAAGGTACTGAGTGTGGTTTGGAGGTCCTGGTAGTTTAAAATTATCCACTTTTCTGAACAAAAAGAGGATAAAGCAATAATTTTAAAGCCCCATTGCTAAAGAATTGAGCTCTTTCATATAAAATGACAAAGCTTTCAGCTTTAAAGAAATACCAAAAAGTGTCTTTAATCCCTGAACTTCTGATACCCCAATGAAAACTCACCCCTAAATGCAGCCACAGCCAGAGTCTTTCTTCATTCCCAGAGGCCTGGATGCCGATTCAAAGAATTTGGGAAGAGTCTCATATTCTTCCCTTTTACAACTTAAAATAGACCGAAGAGATTTTTTCTTTAAAAAGCTTCAAAAAAAACCCCCCAACAAAAAACCCAATCATAGACTGATATTTCTTTTTTATGCCAAGTTTCAGCCTGGAGAAAATTTTATGGCTGAGTTCTAATCCACCCCAAACCCTGGTTTATAACAGAAATGCTGACACAATGATAACTATAGCGTTACGAATGCTGGCGCTATGATATTTATTGCTCCCTAGTGCCAGCAGGGGTTAATCCTTATTAAATGCATTCATTTTCTGGCCTTGTGGAGAACAGATCATCTGGTGATCAAGCAGAGTATGGGTCCCTGGTAGCGTTAATGGAAGATATCACACAAGACATTGTAAGTGAGGAGTCTTTAAGGGGGCTACTGTAGGTGTTTCTGAGGATTAAGTGGCCTTCTCTGGGGGCTTGAGTTCAAATCCAGAGTGTCTATATCCAAGAAGTGTCTTTGCTGCAACTGAACACCACACACTGAGAACTTCGTTCTTCTTTTAAGCTTTAAGGAAGAGTATGAAATGAAACATGACATTACCATGTATTTCTACAATCAGCAGTGGAACAGATCCCACAGATTAGGAATTACCATCTCTCTTATGCCTGGATATCTAAAATCCTCTTCTACATTGAACTCTCCTGTTTAACAGTGTTGGAAGGGTGGAGGAATAAAAAGATCCCTGTAAAATATCTGCCAGATGATCCTTCTATTATTTACTAGAAAAAGTGAAAAGTACAGATTAATTCCAATCAAAAGTTTTTCACATCCCATCCTCATAAACATACTTTTAAGCAACAAGAGGAACTGAAAATCTCTCCAAAATTTCTGCATAAAGCTATGTGGGATGATACGTAGGGTTTTTTTTTCCAGATATTTGCACACAAGACATAGTGTTTGCTGTATTTATATGATAAACTGGACAAACGTGAAGGAAAGTTGCAGATGTGGTTTAGGAGAGAGTAGGATACAGTGAGCATTTTAGCATTTTGTTCTTACTCCGGGGTCTCCCAGTACGAGCCTGCAACCACCTGCCAAGCTCTCAGCCTCAGAAGTCAGTCTGCAGACTTTAAGTGAGGGGGTTGCTTGCTATGAAAAAAAAAAAAAAAATTCAGTACAAAAGGAGTGAGCATGCGTGCAAAGTTCACGATAAGTTCAGTGAATGATCATATTTTCCCCACAATAATAAATACTTCTATAATTTATAAATGCCTCAAAAGGCAGAGATATGTGGGGGATGCAGAATCAAAGTGTCTTGACAGGAGAGAGACAAAGGAATGAGCCAGAGAGTGAACTGACTACTAAAATTCCTCATCTCTGTTTTGTTTCTTTAAGAACTTGTCCCCAGAGAAAAAGCTGTACTTTCTAGAGAGGCTTAAAAAATAAAAAGAAATCCTCTGGGCTTGTGAACAGCCAAGGAGAGTTTAAAAAAATCTTCAATTTGAGCATAGAGCCAGAGAGCAATACTCAAGATTTTCTCTTCTGTTTGATAATAGTTTTTTAAAATATGAGCTATAAGACAGAGAAAAAAGTAGGGGTTTTTATAAAAAGGTTAAAATCAGAGATATGTTTTCTGCCTTGCTACATGGAAGCTCTCTAGTAAAAGAGAACTAAAGTGATTTTCATCAAAACTACTTAAAACCAAGAGTGTTCAAGAGAACAGAAAGCCATGTCTTCAGCACTGGGAAAAAAATGTTTTCATTAAAAAGTCATTTTGAAAGAAAAGGAGCTAATACACATTCCCTTGATATTCAGAGGAAATGGAAATGAAAATAAAAATAGCTTTATTTTTCTTTAAAACTTCCACAGGGCAAAATACAGCGTCATAACCTCCTGTAACAGATAGGAAATAGAAAAATCCTCATGTGAAGAAAACAGCCACTGGAACGGTCAGAAAGGTGCCTTTAACAAGGAGGCAGAAAAGATTTCCATTTCCATTTGTCCTTCTGTCAGGTACAAAGGTTTTGCACTGAACCATGGACTCCAGGGAAGCAGGCCATACCGCGCACAGGACTGATTTTTAATGGGAGCTGGGGGGGG